GTATATATATATATATATATATATATATATTATATATATAAAATTTTGGTATATAATATTATGTATTTATACAAATTTTAAAAATCTTATAGATTTTATTATGTACCTTATTAATAATTTAATTGTCAACTTTGTTATTATTGATATTTTATTTTAGTTACTTAAAGATTAGCCTAATAATTTTTACATAAATTTGTACGTAAACATTTGTAAAAAAACATATTGAGGTTTGAACTTACATAATATGTTCTAATTTGTATAAATATTAAACGGAAATTTAATTTCGCATTAATTTAATTTCGCTTAGTTTATACAAACAGCACAAAAGATAATAAGTAACATCCGTCAAAGTATATTATGTAATCGTAGTACTGGAGGAAATGATAATGATTTAATCATGATAATGGTTCCGGATCCCTATCAATTTCCCAAACATAAATGTCAGCATTATCTCCTGAAAACATTATATTACATGAGAGAAAAAAAAGAAATTCTTATATATGAATATATATTTACTTCCACATAGTATTTTAACGTACAACTTTACTTTCAATTTTTATCTTTGGCAGCTATAAAATTTTAATAGAATTTAAAATTTATTTTAAGAAGTACTTTTACTTTAGATTTTACGAGACGTCTAATCACACTTCAAATTGCGCGTAAAAGTGTCAAGGAAAAATACAAGAAAAATCCGAGCAAGTCGATCGCCTTGTAACGTCATAATCTTCACGTTTGTTATTCATCTCGCGTATTGTTGCTCGTTATTTCTCTCTTTTTTCTACCGACTTGAGGATAGTACATGCACGCTCGACGAAAGTGACATCATATTCTCCGGACAAAAAGCCAGTTCTCATTGATTCTAATACCGGTTTCTTCCTCGAACAGACCGAAGAAAACCTTCGTCGCGATCGTCGGGTTAGGTCATAACCTTAGGAGAACGGGTTCATACGCATACACATACATATACATGATTTCCTTCTCTCTTTTTTTACTTTTAGTAAAAGATGGATGAGCGCCATCGTCTTTCCGATATACCTGGCAGAGAAATGCCGCTTTCATAAATCACCTGCGTAATTAGCCTAATTATTATGTATCAGTCTCGCAAACGCAAATTAAGTCCCGTGACTTATATCCATCACTTTTTGACCCAGAAACGCTATTTTACAAATTCGGAGATGATTCTCTACGAGGAATTAATTTATTTTACGTTAATCGTTTACGTGATTCGGGAATAGGGAATTTTATAGAATATGCTCCAATGAGCGTGAATTGGTTTCTTTTTTATAACCGTTTCTTTAATCATTTTACAGCGAGCCGTTCCTTAAAATCCTCTTCCTCTGTATCCACTACTACTACTCTGCTTCTTCTTTTCGCCGCGAGACGGGCGGGAAGGGCTCTCACCTTTCACCCGAAGTAACTGTACAAAGTAGAAAAGTTTAGGTTTAGTTTAGGGAACGACTACAGTACACCGATAGAAGCGAACAGCTGCTGGCCGTTGTAATCTACCACGGTTCGATTACATGTCAGCGACAGCGAGTGTGGAATAACTGATAACGTTAATAACGGCATCGTAATAAATGCACGACTTGTAACCAAGAAGAAACAGCACCGCGACTCCTGCAATTAATTGCACACTGTTAGAATTAGTAAATGATCTCCCAGTCATTCGCTTTAGATATTATTTTATCCTCAAGATAAATTTGTCAGAAATTGCAAAATTATTCTCCTTGTGATTATTTGATCAATTTCTATTACATTTTCTCGAAAAAAAAAACTATCTTTAATTTTTATTTTTTTCAATTATTAAATTTCATGAAATATGGTTAATTAATTAATTTAAGGTCCAGTTACAACGTTATTTTGGCTTAAACATCTGTCTTTATTTATTTTTTTAATAAATAAAAACGATTTAAGTTCTCTTAAAGTTCATATATAATATTGTGCAATCGAACCTAAATCACTAAAATATTTATTTTTTTAAAGATTTTAAAATTTAAAAATTTTTTTAAGAGGTTGTGTTATTAATTAAGAAAAAAAATTTAGCATAAAGAGTTTGTATTATATTTTATATCAGTAATCGGCACGTCAGTTGTACAGATTCTGATGACTTTTTAATTGTAATTAATACGACTGCCCGTTTTGTAGCAATACCGAAATAGACATTCAATGACATAATGAGAAAGAAATCGCGGCACAATGAGAATCCTAATGAGCTTGTTGGAGCAGAAATGTAATGAGAAAATGTTATTAACCTTCACCAACCGAGCAATTATCGTTGTTTGTGAATTATAAATTATTAATTATCTTCGATCCATCTAATGGAGATTCATTTACTAAAGTTACTTAAAAATATTTAAGATTAATGAAAATTATATAACTATAGAAAATAGAGTGAAGTTCCGTCGAATTTTCGCTGAGGCAAAAGCGACCTCAAATTAAAGAGAGAACAATTTGCGCAACGTTTGGCAATCGTTTGCCCTACATATTACAGGAACAAGATTATTAGCGATATTTTTTTTCCTCCGCAAATTACATATTCTTACGAAACCTCCCTGCCTATCGAACGGATCGTTAGTTTTGAGCATCGTGAAATCGATGCGTACAGAAATCTCGGACGACCTGAAATCTCGAACGTTATGTATCATCCCTCGGACGAACGTTCGAGGGGAATGACAATTCGCGGGAAGAAGGAAAAGATTTACGTAAGAAAGAGCGATTCGCTGCTTTCGTTTGTTCTGAAAGGTGCGCGTCTTAGCCATTCACCGCGGAAGCGAATCCGCCTGGAAATCCAACTTCTCGAGCGCGACCGTCTAGCTGTATCGAAAAACCACCGAGGAACATATGCGAGAGATCGTGGAAACACTGATAAGGATCCAAGCACGCGACCCGCACGATCGAGACAACGAAACGAGTCTGACTTTTTCCTTTGCAGGAACGCGCTCGCGAGATCAAGAGCCGCGTCTTCGTTCACACACGTCAAATTTAATCGAATGATTTATTTATCACCGCGAGATTTAGCACGACAACAGCGATTTTCTCGCGAGAGTAAGCGCTTTGCTTTAACGCGTTCGATTGCACGAATAATTTTTTTCTTTTAATTTTGTGAAGAGAAATCAGTCAAAGGAATCATCATGTCGAAATTCCAGTCTTCCAGCGAGAGTTCGAAGCGAGACTCCACAATTGAGTCTGCAATGTCATTGTTTTAATATTCGTCACTTTTTTTCGTTTTTTCGTTTTTTTTTTCTTCAGTTCATTTGATTCGTGTCACAAACTTCTGCGAATAAGTTCGCGTGAGAAATCCAGCCGCAGCTGGTAAGAATCGAACGCCTCGCTTTTCTTTTTTCGGCTCGGTAATCCGGTGATGCGTGACCTTTCTCACACGAGAAGGCCCATTTAGCCTTGGCTCGCGTCTTGATTACCGCAGACCCGATGCACCCAGATCGTGGAAACTGCGACTGTGATAAGATCAGCGGTGCCGGTGTCGGTGCCGGCGCCGGTTGCGTGCAATTTGCGCGTCCGGTGCAAAGACGCGCGTTTTATTACCTTTGTCTTTCGTATCCGCGTTTCGCCCCCGCGGCTAATCGTGGCGTATCGAGCGCGTCAAGATGAAAGCCTGTTAACCTGATTAACATAGAAAGGAAGATTTGCATGCGTACAATGTGAGTTACGAGAAGCAGCTCCGGTGATACCATCTCTTACAACGTACCTGACTCACTGGGTCAAGATTTTCCTTGTTTTTAACTCTTTCCGGCATCGCGTTAACAAAGAAGTGATATGTAATACTTTATGTATGATATTCGTGAATGGTACGAGATTAACATTTGTATACGTACGTTTTAATAATTAAAATATGTATATAATATGACAACAATAACGCTGATCAATTAATCCCACGTGAAATTAAATGATATTAATTTTTCTTTTTAAACAATGGTATAATTTTAAGCTATTTTTACTATCTGAAAGTTACCTGATCTTATAGAAGTCTTAGAAAAGCACACTTCTAATCATTGCAAATAAGATTTAATTTATTTAATCTCGTGGCCTTATTGATTAATTTACATTATCGACAATTTGTATTATTAGGAAATATTATTTTTATACTTCATCTCTTTCGTTTATTATCGCACACGAATATAGAAAATTGTAGCATGTTCCATGACTCATCGTCTCTGGTTCTTCGTGCGAGCATGTCGCGATCGAGGCACAAGAGCGTGGGTGCATCGCGAATAAGCGAGTCGGGAAAGGACCTTTCGATGATCAAAGTGAAAGTCGCGGATCGGTGCGACTCAGCTCGGCTCGGCGCGGCGACGCGACGCGTTCAGTCTCGTCGCGGCGAACGTTCTCGCAGCAAGCGAGAATTCGTGTCGAATTCCTCGTTCCGATCTGCGGTTACTATCTAATCGAGCCTTGAACATTGCCGACGATGCAACCTTTTTGTGGGTAAAATATGTGCGAAAATCGGATGCGATGTGTAAAGTGTTTGTGAGACCCTTGGATTAAAGCGCACCCCGACTGGATTGGATTGTTTGATTAAAAGGTGCGAAAAGTTGATGCTGAGAAAAGCTCATTTATCACAGAAATGATTGATAATTTTGTTTGACGAGTGCTCTTGCATTAAAGTCATGAGTAATTTAATTTATAATTTACTTTTGAATATCTGGAATTTATTTCTACTTTATAAAAATTTCAGCGTATTTCTTGAGAATTGTAAACTGAGGAGAAAGAGAGAGAGAGCGAGAGAGAGAGA